ACACACACACACACACACACACACACATACACACATATATATATAAACTAAATGCGCTGAAACGATGAACTTAGTAAGAAAGTGGTGATATATGGGGACAAAGAATGAAGGCCAATATCCGAGGTACTATCTATCAAATATGGATGACGAAATGACAATATATACAGCTCCACAACTGATATACACACCGATGGCCTGCCAAGGATAGTGCCGTTCCTGCATACGAGTAGAGAATTGAAATGTACAATCATTATACAATACCAAGGATTATATTCAATTGCGCCTTCTAGTGAATGGATATATTCTATCGAAAGTGAGATTGGCACAGACTGAACAGCCTACATACCACGATGTCATAGTTGAGAAATCGTCACCGTCCAACCCATAGCTGATGGATCCATCCCCGATTCCTTTCTCGCCCTTCTCTAACTCATCGAGCAGTACGAAGTTCCGTGGTACAACTAAATGCGAAGGTGGTATGTGCGACGAAACGTTGAGTGGTCTTAGTTATTCATATCCTGCAGGAGAAGTATCTACTCGCTACTTTCCATATCCTGCAGGAAAAGTGTCTATTCACTACGCGCGGATGTAATTTCTAAAAGGAAACCTTTTTGAATATCGCTTTTCTAATTCTGTCAAAAATGAATCCACTCTCCTTTCACTTATGTAGACTGTAAAATTGCGACAGCGTTTGTACAAGGGCCGAGATGACAGTGGTCAAGTGACTGCCAAAGTGACAGTGGTCAAGTGACTGCCAAAGTGACAGTGATCAAGTGACTGCCAAAGTGACTGCATCTACAGGCTTATCAAAGTCAACAGCTATACGCAGGAATAAAAAAAGAGAACATCCACATACCAGCTGTCATTATTGTAGTTTATTGTGAGCACCGTATGACACTTGTACTATATTCGCGGGTATGTCACTGTTGTATTTGGAAGTGTCTGCTTGCAGTGCGTATGTGTACAGACTACAGCGGTAAAGAAATACAGCCTACACAACTAGTTTACCGCCATATGAGTCATGTCGTCAAAGGTCTATTTGATTTGCAAATATTTATCTGAATATTTTCAACAACTCTATAGAGATCAGTAGAGCCTTGACTTCTGAAATACAAATCCAACAATTTTAAATGCGTAGACCTCAAAACAGACGCATACACGTTACTATATATCCATCCATCCAATCTATCTGTCTATCTGCGCCGACTATCTACATACTCCTACTACAACTAGAACATCATGTTTCGCAAGAAAAAGACACCCGAAGAGTTGCTCAGAGAGCAGAAACGCGAGCTGAACAGGTCGAGCAGGCAGATGGAACGCGATCGGGCCAAATTAGAACAGCAGGAAAAGCAGCTGGAAGGCTCGATAAAGCGAGCGGCACAGAAGGGAGACAAGGTACAAGCGACCGCTCTAGCTAAACAGCTGGTTATGGTGAGAAAACAGAGAGAGAAGTCGTATGCTGCGAGTGCGAAGCTGAACGACATCTCTGCACAGGCTACGTCTATGCAGGCGAATGTAGCGATGACCAAGGCCATGGCAGGTACCACAAAAACCATGGCGGCGACAAATAAACAGATGAATCCGCAAAAGGTGCAGAAGACCATGATGGACTTTGAGAAGCAATCGCAGATGATGGAGATGAATGGCGAGATGATGAATGATACCATTGAAGGTGTTATGGAGGCGGATGAGGACGATGCCGAGGACATTCTCAACCAAGTACTGGACGAGATTGGTGTCGAGGTAGCCTCCTCACTGCCCAGTGCAGCCATGAACAAGCCGGCGGCAGATGCGGAAACGGAAGACGATCTGGTGAACAGACTGGCCGGTTTAAGGGCTGATTAGGTATTAGATTAGGTCCCGTTGCTCTGGCTGATATTGTGAAGTTTATATGTATATGCGACGCGTTTCTTGGTGTTTATTAAAATCAATGTATACCCAATAACGAGATAGTTTATTTCCGATAACGATGACTGCTAAGATATTGTCAGATTCGTCAAACCTTTCCGAGGTGTATTTGGCAACTTCGTTGAAATGTCGAGGTGTTGGGTTTAAGTGGTATTCAACGTACTCGATGCGATAATTGTGCGCAGGGCGAAAAAGGGTCTATTCCTAGGTCGGGGTCAAATGGGTAAACTGTTCAACTGTGTCATTATAGTATGAAAAAGGTCATATTATTCCTAGGTGTTGCTTTCTGCGAGCGATATAGTGCTTATGTGTGTGCATTTAAGTGCTGGTCCTGTGGGCCAGTGTACGATAACATACTTGTGCGTCATACAGCTGTAGATGTATCCAACTAGCCGACCCACAAAAATCTCGGAGCTTAATATTAACATCCGTTCTCATGATTGTGTTAATTAATTGTATTACGTTTCGTCTGCCACTGACCAATCGATTTGGTCGCACCCTCTAGTGTTTCACTGCCAATACACGCTAGGGTATGTGTATGTATGATTGGTTTTGTACTTTAAGGTTGTAAATGCGACACAATCAATACTCTATGCCTGCATCGAGTCATAATCATATATACTTCTTTATGCATTTCAGACATGTGCTTTCAGTGGGCATGCGCAAATGTACTTGTGCACGTATGTTACTTATGCACGTGTGTCTGTGTACGAGTATGTGTACGTGCATGTGTACGTTACGACAAAGCAGTTAATCGCTTCTTTGTATAGCATACATATTGCTATTTCACTTGCGTATTGACCGGTATGCACAAAAAGAATATGTCTTCACATACGGAATCATTATATAT